CAGAATTTCAGTCTATTTCATTATGTAGGACTTTGGTTGATGTTCGTCCCCGACCATTATTAAAGATAAGTATTCATAGTATTACTGGTCATGTTTTGATTGACACAGGAGCTAAAATGTCTATTGCTAGCGAAAGCCTAAATAATGTATTAGTTAAAAATAATCACCAAATGACCAATTCTGTTGTAGAAATGAAATTAGCTGATGGCTCTATTTGTAAACAAAATGTCAGAATATGTACTGTAAATGTTACTGTGTGTGGAATTGTTGTCCCTACTGTTTTTATTGTTTTACCTGGAGCCACTGATACATTGTTAGGTATGAACTTTATATGTGATGCGGGCATGGTGCTTGATCTTAAATTTAATCGGTTTTCATAAAGTCCAATAAAGATGTGTACTACCCTTTAGAGTTTGAAGGCAACAAAGACAGTCTGGGCTGTTCAGTCGCAGGGCTACGTGATGACGAGGGTACCACACTATCCCTTACGTATTAGAGGAAAACGCCGACATCTTTGCACCAGGGGGAGCACCCACCTCGTTCGCAGTACATCGCATCGATACTGGAGATAGCGCACCAGTGGCTGTGCCTCCTTATAGATTAACCCCTGCCAAGAAAGAGATTGTGGGCAATGAAATTAATAAGATGCTGGAACAGGAGGTTATAGAAGAGGCTGAATCTGAATGGCCGTCGCCAGTAGTTTAAGTTTCCAAGAAGAATGGGGAGATGCGCTTCTGCGTTGATTACCGAAAGCTCAACGCCGTCACCCGGACAGATAAGTACCTCCTCCCGGTTATAGATGACCTCCTGTTTTCAACCAAGACTAATTGTGTGATGTCTACCTTAGATTTAAGGGCAGGCTACTGGCAGGTAATTGTTGCGCCAGAAGATCACCCCACAACAGCGTTCACCACACCCTTCGGAACGTATCAATTTCGTCGGATGCCCTTTGGCTTAAAGAACAGTCCGTCGACGTTCCAGCGCCTTATGGATAGGTTCAGATCCGGGCTCAAGGACGTGTGCTGCGCGGCATATTTAGATGACATTTTGGTTGTGTCTGACTGCCTAGAATCCCACGTGCAGGACCTACGAAAAGTCTTTGAGAGATTACGTCTTTTTGGCCTTAGGGCGAACCGAGATAAATGTCATTTTGTTCGAGATAAAATAACCTATTTAGTCATGTTATATCTCCATAGGGTATTCAAGCTGATCCCGACAAAGTAAAGGTTATACGGCAGATGGCGCCACCACACAACATAAAAGAACTAAAATCGTTTTTACAAACCTGTTCCTGGTTTAGAAAGTTTATCCCTAGGTTCGCCGATGTAGCACGGCCTCTTACCATGCTTACGCGAAAAAACGTCCCCTGGAGTTGGAGTGGACCTCAGAATGAAGCGTTTGCTGCCCTGAAAGAGAAACTCACCTCTGCTCCCATCCTTCGTCAGCCTGATTTCGCGGTTCCATTCGTCATACGTACTGATGCCAGCGCCTTTGCTTTGGGCGCAGTCTTGATGCAAGGATCTGATGTTCATAATGAACGGCCAATTGAGTATGCCAGTCGATTATTGACTTCAGCGGAAATAAATTACTCTACCACCGAGCGCAAAGCATTAGCGGTTATTTGGGCGTTAGACAAGTTCAGGGGATATGTGGAGGGTTCCCCGATTAAGGTTCTTACCGACCATCAACCCTTGCGGTGGTTGATGTCCCTCAAAACACCCAGCGGTCATTTAGCACGGTGGGCAATGAAGGTACAATCTTACAATATCGATTGGGAATACACACCGGGCAAATGTAACGTTGTCGCCGACACACTTAGCCGTCTGCCTCTCCCAGCGGTTAACGAGAAAGACGTGGAATGTAAAGCATGTCCAATCTCAGTAGATTTACCTCATAAGGGGCCAGAGGAAATCCGGGTTGCTCAACTTGAAGATCCTGACGTAGCGAAGATTTTAAAAGATTTTGAGAGTAATAATGATTTTACCAGGTGGACTGATTGTGGATACTACGTATCTCAAGGAGTTTTATACCGAACCGATCGAGATAGCGAATCTGATGAGCCGCAGTTAGTCGTCCCAGATTCCATGAAGGAAGAATTACTCAAGGAACTTCATGATGCCCCAACTGCCGGCCATCTTGGTGTGGAGAAAACGCTCAAGAAAATTAAAGAAACATATTTTTTCCCTCAAATGCGTCAGTATGTCACCCAATATTTGAAATCTTGTGATCTGTGTCAAGCATTCAAACCTAGTAATTTAAAACCTGCTGGATTGTTACAAACCCCAATTATGCATCAGAGATTCGAAGTTTTGGCCATGGACCTTTTTGGGCCTCTTCCTCAAGGCAGTGACAGTGAAAAATGGATCTTCTTCCTGGTCGAAGATGTAGCCACGAGATGGGTAGAACTGTTTACTCTCGTAGATGCTACTGCTGAAAAGTGTGCTAAGACCCTAGTCGATGAAGTCTTTTTACGGTACGGCTTACCACGTCGGGTCATATCCGATAACGGGTCCGAATTTGTCTCAGCTGTAATGTAGAAAGTAATGCTCGCTTTAGGGATTACTCAAAATTTGACACCAGTATATCATCCCCAAGCAAACCCTGCTGAACGTAAGAACCGGGATATGAAATCTATGCTGGCAATTTTAGTTAATACTGATCATCAGGATTGGCCCAAGCACATCCCAGCGGTACGATTTACCCTTAATACCGCAACTAATCAGACCACAGGACATACTGCTGCCTATTTGGCTTTTGCCCGTGAGTTGCGTTCCCCTATAAATATAATAAATGACATCCGTACCGTTACAGAAAAGGAGAGCTTTGTTCCCCAAATTACCCCATACTTACGGGATTTTGTGGATTCATTCCAAGAAATACGTTGGAGAAAAAAGCACCAGCAAGATCTGAGGAAAAACGCAGCGGATCGGAGTCGTCGCGATGGACCATAGTATTGTGAAGGCGATCTGGTGCTTGTCGCGAATAATGCACTCAGCCAAGCTTCCAAAGGTTTAACTAAAAAGTTCTTTCCACGTCGCATAGGTCCTTTTAAAATCAAAAGGGTTATGTCTGCCTCTACTTATGAAGTGGAGGATAATGAGGGTAACTTTAAAGGGAAGTACTATACAAATCTCCTCACACCATATATAGGTGATTCTGATTTAACAACTATGACTAAGAAAGGTAGGCCGCGGCTTAGGTCCAAGTCACCCCCGGGGCGGGTGGGTGACTTGGAGGGGGAGGATGAAGCACCACGTTCCGTAATGTCGAGCTCCGGCCGATCTATTCGTGTGCCGCGCCTATACACTTAACTAATCTATGGAAACGTCATTTGATTGACAGATGTCTTATTTAAGAGAAAAGTAATCTTGTTGCCGCTAAAAATGATTGTTAGAGAATATGTTGATTTTGTTAAGTAAATGCTGTTTGTTTGTGAATTATAAAACATTAAAGTGATTAAGAAAAATAGCGTGTTTATTGTGTCATCAGCGACTTTACGACATTCACGTTATAACATCAGGCAAAAGAGGACTTCCTATAGCATATTGTATTCTAAAACAATTCTTACAAGCATGTAAAAAAGGAATAAATATTAGATTTCAATGGATACCGTCACATATAAATGTAATGGGAAATGAACTTGTTGACAAGGCTGCAAAAACTGGCGGTAACGAAGGGATAACAATAAACCATATGCCTTTCTTCACGGATTGGTTAAAGGATTCAAAAGAAGAATGTTACAAATTGTGGAAAGAGTATTTCGATAAGAGATCTGAGGAGAAAGGTATATGGTATAAAACAATACAGTCTGAACCACCAAAAATACCCTGGTTTGCCAAAGAAAATATGAATTGGCCACTTCTTGTGACTATCATGAGATTACGTTCCGGACACATTCCACTGAATGCGTTTGGATTCCTAATGAAAGTTATTGAATCTCCCAACTGTACAATCTGTGGTGTAAAAGAGGACACGTACCATACGTTAGTGGAGTGTATTCGGTTCGAATTTGAACGCAGAGCTTTAGAGCTTGAACATAAAGTTAGCTTAAGACATGTTGGCTTGTGCAATAATATATTGTCCAAGCTGACATTAAAATTAGCTATTAAATTGGGTAATATTATAATAAAACTAATTAAGTATAGATTATAATAATAAATGTATCATCAGGGGGCTGACATAGTCGCTCAGCGACAAAAGCCTTCTTTCTACTAAATAAAGATTAAAAAAAAAAAGTCGAATGTCTTCTACTTCCGGGCGATAGCATGAACTCAATCTCAAAATGTGGGAGGAAATTAAGTATAAATAAGCTATAGTGATCAACCGCAGGTCATTCACGTCTACAAGTAATGAGCTTTTTGCGTGTCCCATTTCTGGTATTTGTTTGTGATTTCATTTAAGTAAAATGAATCGTGAAATATTTTCTCGCGGTTTTTTTTTTTACCGCAGGAAAAAGTTTCTTTGTTGCATGTAAGCATGGTTGATAGACTTGCATGTAATATTAGCAGAATTTCTTAGCAGGCCAGGCAGGAACCTGAACGATTTGTGTTTTGAGAGCGATTTTGTTATAGTTAAGCGGGCGGCAGGTGGTAGGTTCTCGTGGATTGCGAAAACAAACATTTTTTTAACTCTAACGGTATATGGTTCATGAGATTCACAAACAGACTCATAGTGGAAGAGTTATAATACGCATCCAGTCGGTGACAATGGAATTCAAAGAACGATATGTATGTAAAATGTAAATGCGATCTTTTTCAAATATTACCTCGTACTCAAAATAATTTGTACAGTTCATAGGCTGTTACAAATACTCATGAATCTACGGCAGGAGCCCTTGTATTGAGAAGAACTGGCAAAACATTCAGCAAGGGTTGTTTTTTCTCACTGTATTATTATTTACCTACATAATTATGCATAAATATAAAAAAATATACAGTTCAATTAATCTTTCTTGTTGTAGCTATTTACCTTGACGGAAACATTTATTTGCTCACCTTCAGATCTTCGGGCCCGTGCAGAGTATCCTGAAGTTCGACACGTTGGAGGAGGTGATCGACCGCGCGAACAACACCAACTTCGGGCTGGCCGCCGGCATCTGCACCACAAACCTCAACAACGCGCTGCAGTTCAGCAAACACGTAGAAGCTGGCATCGTGTGGTGAGATATACCCACCATGTGATATGACCAAAGTGCTGAGATACCATTGTTTTCAGCTACGCGTGGAGGTACCAAGCTGATGAAATTAATACCACCGGTGCAGTAAAACAAACAAACATCGTCGACCTTTTTTTCTTTTCTGGAAAAGGCTTGACGCCTTCCTGCGCTACCGCGAGCGTGCGATGATGATATCTAAAACCAGAAAATACTCCTGAACCAGTCACCCGACACGCTATAAACTTCTTCAACTAAATTAAAGATACGGCCGCGTCGTTTATGGTAATTTTATGTCATACTTATAATATAGTTTGACGCTCGAGGAAATGAAAACCCATAGGATAAGGTATCCTATGATTTAACTCACAGAGGAACACATAAAGAGGTTTAATAAATTTAGTTACCTCGCGAAATGGATAAAACAGTACCTATTCGCATAAGTTCAAGATCTTGGTTCTGTACCCTTAGTACGAGTTTTACAATTACGAAAACTATGATAGTTTTCGTGAGCTCGCACTCGTACTAAGGGTACTGATTTTATTGTTTTCGTTTCAATACAAATAAACAGTGTTTAAAATCTACCATTAAATTATTTGCGTCTTCTTAAATTTTAAGAATATTTGGTAACTTTTCACCAAAATGGACATAGAAACAATTTACAATTACGAAAACTATGATAGTTTTCGTGAGCTCAAACTCGTACAAGGGTACTGATTTGAAGTATTTGCTCGGTCGGTGGCGTGTGCTTTGTTTACACAGATGTTACTTATACCACCGAAATCGTACCCAATACGGGTAGTGGTAGCGAGGTAAACACTCGTAAGCACTATTATACCTAGCTTTGCAAAGCTCCCATGCTTGGGGTAAAGAAACCTATCTGCAAATCAAGTTAAGCTGGAATTACCTGCCAAAATAATATTACTCCGGATAATGGAAGATGTGGATTCGAATCCCATAGAATTATCTTTAGAATTAAACATCTAGCAGTTCAATGCTTAAAATAAAAATATAGTAATCTTTATATAATATATATATATATATATATATATATATATATATATATATTTAACTGCTAGATGATTAAATCTAAAGAAAATTTTACAATAAAAAAAATCCACGCGGACCAGGCAATCGACGGGACTCGAACCCGCACCCTTCGCTATCCGGGCGAATACACTGATCATATAGCTACCGCGGCCCTGATGGCCGTGTCGTATTACCGTGTCGTATATGTAGGTAACCCACAAAGTCAGATGAATACATTTACAAAATATTAAACATTTGAAAAAAGAAATAGCAATTATAGGTAAAATAACTAATTTACTTTCTTTTTATAGGTAAAATAGCTATAATTGCTTTTTCTTCGTCTTATACGACGACCTTTAATCGGAAATAAATGTATCCTCATCCTGCCTGGCCCCAGAATAAATCTGCTAATATACCATTAAAATCGGTTGCGCAGTTTCAAAGATAATAAGAGAGACAAATGAGCACCATTTCTTTCGCCTTAATAAGATTTTCCCAGAATAGGTAAGGATTTTCTAATGAAACATGGCGAAATAGTTGATAGCAAAGAAATTACCTATAACCTATAATCCAGTCTTGAATGAGTAGATTGTTTGTTTGGAAACAATTATCAGTTTTTTTTGTTTTAATAAAAATATATTAATAGCAATTGATTGTAAAACAAGACCAAGTTATTAATACAAATAAAAATAAGTTCATAATTAAAGATCCCAATGTTAATAATTACAAGTGCCGGAAATGTCGTTTCTAGAGTTTGGGAATTCCCGACAATTTCAAAATCCCGGGACACGAGACAGCCCATGATCAAAGTCCCGGGACGTCTCCGGACTTCGAGACTTTTTAGAATAAAAGGACACGGTTCAAAAGACATCGCTTGTTCTCCATACATTAAATGACCCAGAACGCACAGCAATAAGAAAATTCCAGTTCTGTTCGGAATCATTTATAAATTCTTATCAGCATTTGTTAAAATACGGACAATTTGAGGAACCGTGGTCTACTACAGAATGTATGTATTACATTTTGAGGTTATATTATACTTAATCGTAAACGATGATTTATTAAAAAATCAAAATTCATATTGATTAATGAGTATTGCCAGTTGGTACCTATGAAACCAGGTTAATAATATATTTCTTAAAATGAAATGTTTAATGGCTTTCCATTTACCTCTTTCTATATTTTATTATTGGTAATTAAGTGTGTACCTGGTAATCATTATAATTTTCATAAAAATAAACAGATATTAAATGGGATGGGAGTATAAACTATCTTTATATAATTTCAGAAATTATCTATAAATATAATATAAATACTAGTGATAAGTTTACTTAAGATTAAGTATTACTAACTGAGGAGGGTAGGCAGCTAGACCTAGTTCTATTGTTATGTTGATAAATACCTATGGTCGCGTATATTGCATTTATCAAGGCTCGATTTCAACAGACAGATTAGATATCGCTTGAAATTGTGTGGTCTAATTGTCCCTTTATACACAAGCGGTAGGAAGCTTTTGAATTTAGATGAGACAGTCTCTATGACATGACAGCAAATTGTGTAGTAGTGGTGGTTTTCCAATTACAGAGCATAATGCGACTCAGAGGCGCACAATGCCGAATTATGCTGAGGCTTAATTGGAACGTGAATTAGTTTTCGAATGCACCAGCAGAGTGCGCTAAGTTCAGTGTTGAAAAAAAAGTCAATGTTTGTACCTTCATCCATATTTATATTTAATTTTTTAACACCGTTTGAATTAACTTTGATTATTTAAAAAAAAACTATAATGAAACGAAAGTTTTAATAATTTTTCAACAATAAATAATATTACTAACGATAACATATAAATAAAACATTTCGATCAATGCCAACTTAAAGAAAAAACACTTGTTAATTTTCTGTCTCTGAGTTGGTACGATTGCACGCATCACACGAAAGCATTACTTTTGAGAGTGCTCGATTGTGCGAAGCGTTGCTGTAGTTGAAACACTCAAAGTTAAGCATTATGCCGCATAATGCGCTATAATGCTGTAATTGGAAAGCTACCAGTTACAGAACTTTAATTTTTCATTTTACCACAGAATGTCCGTTTACTATGAATAATTGATAATAAAGTAAAAAAAAATAGAAAGGATTTATATCCTTTCTTCTATAATATATATCCTTCTTTATAGAAGGACATTTTTGTTTCTTAGGTTGGTATATACCACCAGCTTGGGAACCTATTATACAGGAGATAAAATCCCAACCCCGAGCACACACTGCAAGACCATCAGATACTATTAGTTCTTTTTGTTTGCATAATTTAACATAAGAAGGAGATAGAAAGCCTCTCTTGAGTTTGTTTTGCCGGTTCTTCTCAGGAAGGTCTCCCAATTTTGGAACCTTTGGTGGTAGTTTACGGTAGTAATGGTCAAATAAATAAACTCAAAATTACAAACAAAAATTTTAAATAAAATACTTTATTAAGTAAATTAAATAATAAATTCATAAATAGACAATAAAACTTAAAAATCGAACAGTGAAATAACCAAACGCTCAATAAAAGTCTTTCGAAGGTAGCTCGACAAATTAAATAAAAGTTTTATTCTGACGACGAAGCCTGTAAAGGCTACGAAACGTCAATAAATAAATAAAGTTTCGTGCATTAACCCGTAAAAACTAGTTTTATTTAAGGACATATTGTTTGTGCATGCTGGGGCAGATTTAGCCGATGTCCTTAGCTTTGTATGGAGCCGGTAGTCAGTCTCCGGCAGACTTCAAATTTTTATGTCATGTAGTGCATTTAAATGTAAATCGTTTCACAAAAAACTAGAATTTATTTTATCCCCGTTTTTTAATGATTATTATAATAATTTAAAATGACAAGGTTATTGATTGGTAACTGGCAAGTTTATTTATGGAATGTTTGTTGCCAAAGCATCAAATATGTTCTATTCAATAGGTAACTAAAGCAGTGGTAATGACTCCGTTCATCTCTCATTATGTTATTAGGTATTTCGTGGGTATTGAATTTTAAGAAACACAATCAGTATTATATCAATACAATTAGTATAATAATTTCTATTACTACTACTACTTCTATTTAATTACTATGCAAGTAGGTACTTAGTTAATTAGAAGATGAATAGGTATCTCCTAAAAAGAATTATGAATAAACCAGAACAAACCAAATTTCACTATTTTGCATGGACGTACTACATCAATAACTACTCAATACGTTTGTATAGTACGTCCATGCTATTTTAAAACTGATATTTCATTTTATATCCAGGGTCAACACATACTTGGCTTTTGGTGCGCAAGCTCCGTTTGGAGGATTCAAGGATTCAGGACTTGGGCGCGAAAGGTAAAGTCTTCGTCTTGAATAACTGAAAACTATTTTTTAAATTCAGGAGGTCTACTTTATTTCAACGAATTTTCGATCGAAATTTCGCACGTTCTTCTGTTTCCTTTTTATTTCGAAAATTCGTTCGTCCGATTATCGTTTGGCAATTAAATTCTCCAAGCCTACTCAATTCACAAAACTTTCGAATAGAAAGTTAAATTTAACAGATAATTGTCAGAAATTTTAACCTCAAATTAACGAAATGAAGTTAAATGTTACCTTTTCATTTGCGTTTTGAGATTTTTGTTTTAATTAAGCCTAAAATGCTTGTAAGAGTATTTTAAATCAAGGCTGCTTAGCTCGAGAAACATTTTTAGCATGTAAAATAACAAAAACCATTTTTTTATAATTTATTGTAATTCCAATACTTCAAAGTATTAAACGACAAATTTAGGTTGACATACAAGAGATTGTGATTGAACTCTACAAATTAAAATCTAAATTAACTCTAAAGAACTCACAAACATGACTCATTCCATTCGTTCACGAAAACTGTTTGTGGATCCGAAGTTTATGTGCCTCTTCGAAAATGAAATAGAGTAGGCAATGGCAATATTTCGTTTAAAATTAGTTCGTAGAAAGAGAGTAAAGCTCCAGGTGCGTGGCTTTGACTCACCGTTGCCAGGCAACGCTCTAAAGATATTTATAAGACAATATCTTAAATGGAAATTGTAAAAGTAATTAAACAAATGTATTGCTCTGAAAACAAAGATTTTATTTAAGTATGTATGTAGGTTAAAACATTTATTATTCACTACACTTTTTACTATCTACTATAAATCATACTAACTTACCTGAAAACAAAGAAACGACATTTAAAGTCTTTTACTTAATACAACAATTGTATTGTTATTGTTGTATGTGCGTGAAAACCTAAGAAACAAATAATTCCTTTATTTACAATAATATTTTAAAATAATCAAATAAAAATATCACGGCTCGTTCTGTCAAAGCGACACCATCTATCAAGTGACAGTTTTATTATTATGGTCGCCCGAGAACTATACAAACTACAACAAATTAAAGAACTGACTGTAAAGAGGTTCTTTACATACTGATAATTTTCATTTAATTTAAACTAAAAAATACACGTGGTTCTATGGGGTAGTCTAAACTTCAGCAGCCCCCCCCCCCCCCTCCCCGTAGGGGGTGCAAAGTTGCTAAAAAAATACCATGTGATTAATGGAGGACCCCGGTAACTGGCACATTTTCTTAAAATTGTGCGTATGTATAAGGTGGCGCAATATTAATCGTCTAATTTTGAATTTGTATAACTTTTTTAACTAGATACATTTTTTTTAATGTTGTCACAGAATACATAAACATTATAGAATAGTTCAGTAATTTGACGACCTCCGTGGCCGAGTGGTTAATACGCCGGGTTTCATGGTGTCGCCTCTCGTGAGGTCCCGGGTTCGAATCCCGGTGGGGACAGATAATTTGTACTCCAGTCATGGATGTTTAATATGTATTTATAAACAAATATACTTATATATGTATAGTATATGTATTCTATCCATTACCCTAGTATACCATAACACAAGCCTTACTTTGGGGCTAGGCTTATTGGTGTGAGTGTTGGAAATATTATTATTATAGACCGGGAGCTGGTGACAGGTGAGGTTCAACGATTTTGTCGTGCATGCCTTTTTCAGGCTTGATAACTAACCCTAACATATCAATGATAGTCGGGGTTTTAGCCCCCCCCGCGCGTCCTCTTCATAAGGAAAAGCGCTTTTCTTTGTGAAACGGATTTTCGTGTTTTTCCGTGATAGTATACTGCATGCCATTGTAATATACGGAAGTTTAAACAAATTAAAGCTGTAATAATTAGTGGCATGCACTTCGCAGCGGCCCAAGATGATCATAGAACAAAATCGTGGAACGTCACCTGTCACCAGATCCCGGTCTATAACGAATGCCTTATGATAATACTAGCTGTTACCCGCGACTTTGTCCGCGTGGAATAGTATCTTTGGGTAGCATTTTTATTATTTAATAAGAATCATTAGTAGGTATATTTAAAAAAAATAAAAAATATTTGTTTACAGTAGGTATAAGGTACCTATGTATTCCATTGAGTGGCAGAAAGTACCTAGGAAAATTTATTGGTCCCTTATGTCCAAGAGACACTTACAGGGGCCAGCGTCACTTTGTGTACAAAAATATTTTAAAATGACCTAATTTAAAACATTTTTGTACACAACGTTTGCTGTTTTGTTATTATTTGTTAAAATGTGGAGATTGTTTGGACTCGACACTCGCGAGCAGGCCACGTACAGTTGGCCATGCGAAAAACAGTTTTTCTCTAAATTTCCACCTGCTACTTTAAGTGTTTGCAATTGCGCTTTGTTAATTGTCATTGCGAAAGCTGGTTTGAGGGGAAACTGGATTCTTTTAAACTGAAAAGGTAAATCTGTAGGGATCATGGGTATGCGGGGAATCAAAACTTCTTCATCTTTAGCTATTCCTGTCATTATAATTGCTCTAATAGTATTGCGTCCTAGCTGCGTAATTTGCAATCGAGTCCCGTTGCATAGTCTCGGCGCCTTGGACATGTGACATCATTTGTTCATTGATCTATCCCACGATTTCATTGGTCGGTGCTAATATTGCCCTTTCACACAGCCAATCTCTATTCCTCATGTTATATTCCAAACCGGGATAGACGTTGTTTTTAAGATCTCCTAAGTTGTAGAGCCACGTGACGCTCGGCATCCAAGACTTGGCGAGCTTGGGTTTGCTGAGAGGTCTCTGCAGCCCTTTGTGCAGCATGACGATCAGCGTCTAAATTATGACGGGTCTGCGTTTGCTCAAAAGTTTCAGCAGCCCTTTGAGTTGCGTGACGCTCGGCATCTAAAGTCCGACGGATCTGTGAATCCTTTTCCGATTCCAGTGATCTAGCAAGTTTAGCAGCCCGAGCTCTGCTAGAGCTATTAGCTAAATTGGACTTTCATTTGCGAGTCATCGTAGAAAAACAAAAATAAAATGAATCGAACAAAACAGATGTACAGATTGAGATTTATTATCATAAAAAAACCTTTAATAAGCAGCTACGTAGTAAAAATGATGCGCTCACCGCACGGCGATGTGTTTAAGTCACGTTTAATTGGAAAAAAAGAAACTAAGAAATTAAATACTTATTTACAACCAATGCATAAAAAGAGTAGGAGGTAAGTAGGTTAGGTTAGTTTTACACCTACTACGACTTATTAGATTAATTCAAAAAAGGAAATAAAAGCAAATCAAGATTTTTTTAAAGTAACGGAAACTATCTTACCTTCTATTAACTATGAACAAAAAGATCCCGAAATATTAAGTATGTACAAAATTAATTTACAGGACCTAACTAATAAAAAATACTTACTTAAAAAATTATACGAAACAATAAAATTATTTTACTGGATCGAAAAATGTAATTCTCTGTAGCGCAAATTTCTCTAATCGCATGCGTCCGACAACGACGTCTGCCCTCATGTGTCTGCCCGTTCGGGTAGGCATAGTTATGCCAGCCATACACACTACGAGAAATCGTTACGATCAGACTGTACAGTTCGAACGGATCAGTTTATCGTACGTGGCGTACGTATAGAAAACTGTGCAGTTTTACAACATACACGCTACGATTTATCGGTACCGTTCGAACTATACAGTCTGATCGTAACGATTTCTCGTAGTGTGTATGGCCGGTATTAGATTCGTGCGCTCGGACCACCACACGACAGCGCCGTTGCCTGCCGCCACACTTCGGCGAATGTGCGCCACGACGACCGACGACCGACGGCAGCGGCGTCAGAGTATTCGTTAAAAGGAACTTTAACTTCAAAAGCTGTTTTTTTTAACTTGATACACCCAAAACTTTTAAATATCATGTTCCTAGGTTCAGTGGTTAAGATTTTGTACTTATACAAAAAGTTTGGCTTCGTAGTTCCCAATCCCATACAACTTTTTACCCCCCCTTTTAACCCCTTACAAAACCCTTTTCACAATAAAAAGTAGCCTATGTCTTTTCTCAGGGTCTAGACCATCTGTATACCAAATTTCATTCAAATCCGTTCAGTAGTTTTGGCGTGAAAGAGTAACAGACAGACAGACAGAGTTACTTTCGCATTTATAATATTAGTCCGGATGTCTTCTGCTGCCCCTCCAATGTCAATGTAGAAATGTCAGATCTTTCAGTCGCCCCTAGCAGCCTGCGACCCCGGTTTGGCCTTAGAGTAAATACCCCTAGCTCCATTGCTTGTCTGCAGCTATTTCACTCATATCAAATATAATTGACATACCACACCATTTGAAATACCTTAATTTAATAGAACATTTTACGCTAGATGTGTAGGTACATCTAGCGTAAAATAAACATTGAATCTTAATAAAAAAAAAACTTCGTACGTACTGTTGTTTCTAGCAACATAAGAACTCAGATCCTTTATTTTTTGGTTGATTGAGTAACTGATGCTAATCAATATTTATTTTATATTTCAGTGGACTGAAGTGTGTGGAAGCCTACATGGAAGTGAAAACCGTAACTGTTGCTTTACCAAAAAAGTTATGAATAGTATGCTTTTAAAAATTAAAATAGGGATATAAATTAACTAATAAATACTAAGATATTTTTTTTAAACAAGATAATAACAATACAATATCATTGTTTTTTATTTTTTGTTACTGAGAAGTATTGTTTTTGTATGATATATTTTGATGTGACATAATTAAATATTGTAGGTACATAATTGTTTTGTATATTGTTTAACTTATTGATTTAAGGTTTTGTCATCTTTTAATGTTTTTTAATAAATATTTTTTTTAATTACTGCATTGTTTTTTTGCCAAGTCGGATTTAGGAACTTTTGAGTGAAAAAAGCAGGATTCTTTCATCGAAAGTGGAACATAGTAATAAAAGCGTATATAATCAAAAGGTTTTGAATATTTATCTTTTTCTTTGAGTTCAAATTACGTTTACGTGACAATAGATAGTAAAAATATCCTATAGTAATAGGATGTGACCAGTCCTCACTTGTCTGTGCCACCTGCCCGCGCTTTCTCAGTACGCTGCACGTGCGGTCGAATTATTCCCGAAAAGCGGGATTGACCCTGTCCTGCACGGGACATTTAATTTTGATTTAAATATCGCGACTTCCGCCAAAATCGGAACGTGTGGCAACGCTGTACACACTACACAAACACACCTACATGAAACATTAGGTATGTATGTGAGTGTCACAATCACAACATAATATCAATCAGACAGATTTCTATACTTTGATATAGACACTGAACGAATATTATATTTTTATCACCTACGTACGTAACCTACGTTTGATTTTGCTCTTTCAAAACAATTACGTTTAATACTTACTGACGGCATCGCCTTCGCCGTTTCAATTCAAATTTATAATGATTTTAGGTATGTCAGTTTCTTTCCAACTACAGAGCGAGTGAGTGAAGTAGTATATCGCAGTACACAACTACAAAATGAATAACTTGACTCACTAGACGCTAGCAAACGTGTCAATAAATGCATCAATCTCTGAGCATTAACAAGTTGTGACTAAGAGTAGTTCAAACAAAACAAACTTCACGCGATGCCGACGCCTGAACGAGACGCTCTGGATTAAACCAGTTTATTAAGGTTTTAGGTACAGCTTTCATTTCGGACACGCTCCGAACAAAACCTTTACAAAAACCAGTATTAACCTTTATTTACCGGTATTTTCGAAACCGGTTTCAAGCCCTGCTCCTAATCTTCGTTTGCCACCGTCATGCGCGGTTTTTTTGGCAATTGCACCGTGCATTTTGCCAGTGTCTATTGCCCGGTTTATTTAAAAGTTAGAGCATTAGTTCGTACATGTTCTGCGAGATTTCCAGGGGGGGGGGGGGGCAGCTTTTTCTACTTTCATTTCAAAACGGAGCGACCGAATGACACGATTTTTATTCTATTTATTCAATAAAACAGGACAGATATATGAATTACACGGAGAGAAATATGGAACCGAGTTAATTCTGGCAATCTCTTAATTACTATTAGTTGATGTTCACAAGTTGTAGTCGAGAGTCGAGATTTCAGTCAGTGACCAATAGTCCTCTTAGATGAAATTACAAAGCTCCCCCCAAGCCTCTACACAACGCTTCCATTTTTTTACAGGGTCTCTTACCCTTTTAGCCGCCCACAAGGGGCCCACTTTTGTAAATGCTGATGTATATGGTGACAGGAAGCACTATCCGATCAAAATGTAGAAATTAACAAACTTTAACGAAAGCTCCTTTTTTTGTTTCGTTTTCGAATCAGGGGGTACCCAAATAAAATAATAGTTGCGGGCATATTTGGGTTAAGTAATACTAAGTATCATAAACAAGCAGATTTATGAACCACCTGTCTGTTGGTAGCGGTGCCCAAAGCTTCGATTTTTCGATTTCAGAGTAGGCGTGAAGATTACTGTAATCCACCAGTACTTATGAACCTATATCTCAGGATGATATGATAAATCGAAAAGAGGATAATTAATTAGACAGTGGCGATGCAATTTCTCAACCTTACTGAAAAAATATACTTAAGATTTTTGCGAAAACAACAAAGGAACGAAAAAAAAATCGTTAACAGTAAGATTGAGCAATGGTGATGGCCACTGTCTTATCAGCCGCGTTTTCTCTCATCAAATTATTCTACGACATATATATATACCCCTCCAACCCATGGAGGGGTTTTTGGATTTCCTCTAACGGGGCAAAATAACATAAGGGGGCACTCTTGCACTGGGCTCGAGAATCGTTTGTAGTTGATTATAGTGAAAGAATTTTCGTTTGTAGTTGCTTCAAAAAAAAGTTATGGGACTTTGAAAAATCCGTATCATCCCGTTTCAACCGGACCCAAATTTTTTGATTGATTCTCATCGAGAATCGTTTGTAGTTGATTGTAGTGAAAGAATTTTGAAGCAACTACAAACGAAAATTCTTTCACTGCAATCAACTATCTGAAAATAACTATGAGAATCAATCATAAATTTGGATACGGTTGAAACGGGTTAATACGGTTTTTTCAAAGTCCCATAACTTTTTTTGAAGCAACTGCAAACGAAATAATTTTTACTACAATCAACTACATACGAAAGACTTTAAGAATAGTTAAAAAAAAAAATATTTCAAAGTCGGGTGCTAGGTTCACACAGCTTTTGGACAAGAGCATACGAATAATATTTTCATTACGAAATATAATGACAAGTTTGACCCTGGAGCAAATGGCGGAAATATTTCTCTTCGAAGATGGACAAGTATTAGTGTTACAAATTTCTTGTACGGTTCACCAACTGGTGGGGCGAATGAGCAAAACCAGGGCTCGTTCCTGGTTTTGCCCAGACGGACATGACGAAACTACAAGGGTTCCTTGTCAGGACTACGGAACTCTAAAAAATGCAGTGACTATCGCTGGCCTCACTCATTAACTAAAGTAAAGGTCTTTCATTTGTAGCTTAGCTGAAAAACAGGCGGAAAGTAGGCCTCCAAGATTTCAAGCGATTATAGAAAATTCAAACAGCAATGAAAATCTTTATTAATTATATTTTATCGTTGAAAATGTCTAAGGTTTTTATTAATATATGTCGGTAAAGTTTTTTTTGTACATACTATATTACACGTACATTTCGTACGTACAATAGTACTTATGTTCGAATTACATACATTTCCACATCGCACGGTACAGACTTGGCGAAAATGTGTAAGAGTTCTTCCTCACGCTTTTCCGCCATGACCGTCAACTGTTTCGTAGCGTATTGTGTGTAGTTGTTTTTATTGTATAATAATTGAGGTTTTGGCGAACAAAACGGTATAATTACATAAAATTAAAATTTACAGGAGCTGTTCAAAACTGAATGACATACCTCCAGTGAGCTTTTGGGATTGGTTTTTATTTTTAAATTTAGTTATTTTAACACTGTTTAAGGCGGTTTTGATTGAAAAATATTTGAGATTCAAATTCAACGGGCCCCAAACCTCCGGACTGTAAAAAAAGTTATTTGACCAGATGTGTAATTATACCGTTTTTTTTCGCCAGTTCCTCAATTAAGTTGCAAGAAGTTACTAGGTATAATAAATAAGAAACATAGAATAAAACACAAAATCCACACTGAAAAAATAAAATTTATTCATAATATCGTTTAATATTATAATAACTTCTATTATAACAACCATAATAAATGCATATATATGATAAGTCTTACAACGTTAAAAAAAATGAGTAGGGATCGTTAGCACGAAGATTACCTACTAAGTATACAATGCGCGCTAGGATAAAGTTATTTTAACTTGAACTTAAACCATGGTTTTCATCGTTTGATGACTGATTTTAAGTATCTATTAGCAGGCAACAATGGAAAATCTTGATGTTCAATATGCTAAAACAAAGTAGGGCAAACATTTTTACGTCAATGGGGGAAAAGCGTTTATGTGAACATTCTTTGTGGTATATTTAAAAATAAAATTCTAATTCAATGCTTTCGTGTGAAACCTTTATCAATTAAAATTTCAGGCTGTTATTTTTAAAGCTGTTAAACATTTGTATCTGATAATTGTGTACCTGGCCTAACCTAAGAGAACCAAAGTATAATAAATGAAGTCGGACCACGATGACTTTGCAGAGTCAATAATCTGGTCACATCAGAAAAACTTGGTCAGACAGCCCTTTTAAGACGTTATTCCAAAATGTCATGTCAGCAACAATCTTTCTTTTGAAGAACATTTTTATTTTTTTTTGTTTATGGAGAGGAAAAAAAGAGAGTAGTGGACTGAAAGTGTTATTTTATACAATCATAAGTCAAAATAAATCTGCAAAGGAACAAATGGAGTCGGTTCTTATGCAAAAAAAAGAAATTTTTTTGAAGAAATCTTAACGTCAACGAGCGATATTCAATAAATTTCTTGATAGTTATTTGTTTCTGTATTGGTATTTTTATTTAGATTTCAATAACTACATTCTTTACCTTTATAACTAAAAAAAATATTTTCACATAAGGTTAGATAATAAAATATAGCTTTTTTGTGGACGAACACTTGTTTAGTAGCATTTAGTTAACCATTGTTCATAAAAAAATATAAATTTGTTAGTAATTGCGTAAGCAACAGTTTTGCATTACGTTAATTGAAAATTTGTTTTATTTTGAGGTACTTTATATGCAGATGATCGTATAATAATCTGACATAATTTGCAGAGTTGACCATTGACCAATATGAAGAAATTAAAGTTTTGGATTCGAAACTATCTTTCAGTTTTTAACAGATTAATCAACAATTTATGAGAAAGAATCATCGAAATCGATCTCGGAAATATACGCGAACAATAATAAAACAAATTTTAACAAAAACAGTTTCAATTTTAATTTTTTATAAGCCAGAAACGCAAAATAGCATATACTAACTAAGTATGGCATGCTAGGAGCAATTATTATTTGCTCGTAGCTGGTATGCATTACCCGTTTTATGCTTGTTAAAATATCCAAACACAACATATGTAGGTACTGTTTGTAATTGTGGAGTTTCCTCGTATCGTCTTCCAAAGTACTCAACACATCTTCACCTAATTAATATGCAATGAAATAATCCTGTAATTGAAGTTACCTAATATCACTGTTCAATATTTGTTGTTTAATTACAGATTTTAAAATAGTAATTTGGTATATAATGTGCATATAAACTTTTTAGATAGACCCCGTAGCAGAAACGGTATAAAAATTACAAATTTCACGGCTACCCTTTTCTATAGTGTACAGTGAGTACACTGTGATTAATATTGAGTGTTTACGTTAACAAAAATCACATTTATATAATGATAGGATGAAAAATCTCATTTAGTATGGACATAATCTGTAGACGTAACCTGATTATCTTCTCAGAGTCCTGACAGGTAATTTTATGTCACCTTGTATAAGTAAGTAGGTACCTTTCCTACCTGCCTATTATTTTCAGGAAAAATGCTAACAATATATTTCTCAACAAGATTAAAAAATGAATGCCTCGTGCTTAGCAAATTATTCTGGTTTTAGTTACTAACATTGGTTATAGCTTGCCAGCTGTGAGTATCGAACTCGTTTCGTGTAGCTGGTAACGGCACGGCTACCTAATAATTTAGCAAAACAATATAATAGAATATAAGCACTTTTATATATTTTTTCTTCTCCGAAAATCAGGAAGCATATCAAATATCTAACCAAAACATTTTGCAGGAGGACGAGTGATTGGTTTTTTATAATCAAAACACTTATTGACTTCTCTAGAGTTCATTCAATACTCCTAGGTGTGAAAGAAAACTTTAAAAGTATTATTTTTTTAATAAAAAGAGAGACAAACAAGCATATGGCCCAACTGATGACAAACAGCCACCATAGTCTGTACACAGTGGTATACAACACCAGAATTTTATTTAAAAGACGGGCGCTCAATGCGAAGTAGTTGCTTTCTCAGTTCTGGCCCCCATTTAAAGGATTACAAACATTAAAGAATAATTAAGCAAATCGCACTTTTAATGTTCGATCTTCGAACCTCACATTAACGAAAACACATTGTTATCACGAGGGTGAACAGCAATGAGAATATAAACTTCCTGAATAATAAATTACGCACTACCCTCATCCTTTCTTGTAGTGAAGTATTTTGAACGAGGTACCTACCTATAATATATTTACTTGATTTCCGTTACAGATCAGTAGCACGAACTTAGATAGGTCCGTATTTGTATCGCCATCGTCGAAGTTTCTATGGAAGGGGCTAGTTTGTTCTTACGTCCGGTAGGGGCGCTGCTTAGTTTTCATGCGTAAATGCTCCATATGAAAGTTAGGCTTAACTCTAGAAGATTCTTAGCATAATAAAAGCTAACTATATTTATCGGAAGTTATAAATACAATGATCTTTGGTCACAAATCACTATTTACTATGAACCTGTTACCTTCGGAATGCTTGCCCGTGTATTTGTAGTGACACTTGCCGTAGGCACCTGTTAGAAAAAACACAAATAAATTTCGGACAATCTATTGTTATTAACAAAATAAAATAAAGCCTAGACTGAACCTTCCGATTGGTACAGTAAAATTAGTGTTCTTTTTTTAAATATTGCAGGTTTTGATTCCAATTCAGGCAAGCCTTTTTTTATTATTATTTGGCTGCAGTTCGTATGGCTGCTTAATAAAAATAAAGCTTTCATTCAGTAAAAATTTCAATCTAAAAGTATTTAAGACACTTTCCCTCGATACGGCAAAGTTTTGGGACACCTCTACTTGTCTTACCTTTGTGTTTGCCCAACGCGGAGAGATCCAAGGGTAGAGGTCTGGCGGATTGTTGGCTATGTTCAGTGCGCATTGAGTCAGTGACGTCACGCGGACGGCGTACGCGCATGAATTCGCCCCGTTTCTCCGCTTCCGAGCGCTCGTGAGCAGACACCCGCCGTGAATCCAAGAAACGTAAATGTTTCAGCTTATAAAGAACAAAGTACCTGCAATATGATAACGTAACTATTGTAGTTTACTTCAACTAAACAATTGCCGTCACAGCTGCAATAGATAAGCACACACTGTATAAATTGTAACTGCTTTCCCTTTTAAAGTTCATGAGATACTTATTGCTCGTCGACAGACAGGCAGATAGCGGCGAATATCTTTGGGTCTTTGGGTACGAAACCATTACAACAGTAACGTATTTATCGCTTTCTTTTTAACGTACCAAGAAGTTATCACCAATTTTCTTGGAACTCTATTCGGATGTAGTAGTAATAGCATTGAATATAAGTCCACGTATGGCATATTAAATACACCGGCTCGTGTCAATATAATATTATAGTTATTTATATTATAATCCCAGGAACTTTCTCGGTTGAATAAAGGTTGCCTTCCAACTTTCAACACGTTCGAAAAGGTTGAATGAATTATCTTGATCCAAGCTGGTTCGATGTTACTGTCATATTTATAATAACATGAACTTAAAAAGGACTCATGATTGGGTCCAAAAAATGTGGATTTGAGTACGTTTCAGGGGCAGTTCATTTTAAAATGTAACTTTATTTATTATATAACATTTCATTGTGAGAGTTATGAATACCATCTCAATATAATAGTGGCTATGTTATTATTATTACCACATGCTTAATAGGCCTATAATATTTTTAATAGAATAAATTGCTTTACTGTATTTCACAATCTATCAATAATTTATTGTACTATTCTATTCATTAGATAACTGTTGTTCCAATACGTATGTATTTCAAAGTCAAGTATGCATATTGTACGAATTACTAAAATGGCAGACATTGTAATAATTAGTAATTTATAAAATCCATTATTAATGTGATTCTTAGGGCGTGCGCTGCCTAAAAGATTTTAGAGTCAATTAATTCTGAACGGGTTGAGTCGTTTACTATTTAAAGAAAGACTGAAAGAGAACATTTTATTGTCTTTCAGAGCATAGGTAGATACATTAAAAACAAAACAGAAAAAAAACACGAAACGACAACAAAGAAAATTAAAAACAAGAAAACTTATTTAAAGTAGTGCTGTGCTTTTGTATAAGTAACCCTTAGTCTTCATGATATTTTTTCTTAAGGTAGATTTTTGGGAATTACCCCAAAGTCGTTTAATGTGTGAATAAAGAAAAGACAAGATTTATAGTCACTCTTAGTATATGTCAATATTAATAAACAATAAATATGTATGTCCATCTGTCTATATATTCAGCCATGCTAGGTAGATAACCTTTCTAGGCCCATGATAGCTGACTAAAAAAGCAGTAAGCTGGCAAGCTTTGTCGTATATAGGATGATGTTATCTACATAATTATGAAAGTTCATTTTGTGGATCATTTACTAGCGGTCTTCTGTTGAAGATGGACGTCGAAGTAGGGAATGCAATCCTGCAATGTCAATCCAAGTATTGAACCATATTAATCCCGCTGCATCTGGGTATTTGTGGGATCCAGCTTTAAAATTTTAATTTAATTACAATAAAGACCTAAAAACCTCTTTTAATGGTCTTTCTTGCGACACAAATGTAATACAGTAGTTTTGAAAATTGTTTAGGTTCTGAACGGGATCGCCCGAGATCAGGCTCAAAGATCATATGGCTTTATAGTAGTTCTATTATCAAAACTATAAGTTTTAGCCAAATATTTATAAATCCAATGAAACATAATTATATTTTTTGTCTATTATGCGACGCGCAGAAAGTAAGAATCACGCTTTTCTGTAATACTGCCAGTCCAGCTGGACCCCGCAAATTTTTAGAGCGAGATAAGTCCCGCAAAATATATCCGGGCGGGATCCCGGTATTGCATTCCCACGTCGAAGTGATAACGGCTGCTGTTATCTATTTGCTCAGTACAGACACGGTGAAAACAACATTTCATATACTAAAATACAGATAGCTATTACCGGAATGTGCATCAAAAAGGTCGTGGAAATTTTATGGAGAATGAAAGGGAGGTTGTTAATATGTCATTGATGAGATCTTAATTATATAAAAGGCAATTGCAAAAGTCATAAATGTTTAAGTTTTGGACAATTTAACCTGTACCGACTGCTACCCGAGAACTCGACTCAGTCATGACGATTTACAATTCAGTTGGGTTCGTACCCATTACATTTCTTGAAATCGATCCACCTCCGAGCGTTTTCTTCTGATTCGAAATAGTTTTGTTTGTATTTTATTAAAATTATTGAATTTTGATGATAGAAAACCTTGATAGTTTCGATTAAAAATTTTGTTTCGAATAATGACACGTTATTATTTGTATTTGGGTTAAGTTCTTTCACCATCTCCTTACCAAGTAAGGTATATAAATCTTGATAGTTTCGATTGTATTTTCAATACCTATAGGTTTTCAATTCGATTCAACATTTATCTCAGACAGTAATGGTGATACAAAGGGTCCTTTATTGTAATTTGTGAACAAGCCCCATGGACGAGAGACGAGTGAATTACTTAATCTGTACGGGCCCACGGGCGCGGGTGGGTCCAGTCCTAATGAAATGGGTTAATGTTGAACATACGTACTTATACCTAGTTAGGTCATAAAGTCTGTCACATGTTTAATATAAAATAATTGAAACAAGTTTATTCATTATGTAACCATTTATATACCAAAATAAACTTAACAAAACATAGATTCTTATGACAACAAAGTTTATTCAAAATGACCTCCGTGATTTTGAATACAGGCCTTCAATCTGCGCGGCCAGTCGTCTATCGCAGCACGTCCATGGTGGTCAACGAAGTCCATGTCAATATTGGCGGTTGCCTTAATCAAGGATGTCTTGAGTGACTCCAAATTGGTATGAGGCTTTGAGCACGCCTTTTCCTCCAAGTGTTGCCATATCTTGTAATCTAACGGACTCAAATCTGGACTGGAGGAGGGCCAGTCTTCGTGCCGGATGAAGTCGATTTCACGCGCCGCCAGCCAGTCTTGTGTGCTCTTCGCTCTATGAGCTGGCGCCGAATCTTGTTGGAATACCCAGTGCCTGTTATTGAACATGGTATGAGAAACAGGTTCCACAAGGTTCGTCAGGACTGTATTTTGATACACAACTGCATTCGTTTTTACACCTTTCTCACAAAAATGTACCTCTGTTAAGTCACAATAAGAAACAACCAACCATACCATGAGCGAGGATGGAAAATGACCTAGTTGGAGACGCGGAATACGGTTGCTCGCTTCTTCACTACTGTGTGCGTACACCTTATCATTTAGTTTGTTGTAGCTCTCTTCTACGGTAAAAATTTTTTCATCCGAAAAAAGAATTTCTCGATATTTTTTTCCCGCGTACCGCTTCAACAAAGCGCGGCATCTCTTCAGTCTCAGGTCCATTAGACGGGCATTCAAACGATGTCCTGTTTTTCTTCGATATGCCCGAAGTCCTAAGTCTTCACATAACACCCTTTTCACCGTGGTTCTGCTTAACCTCATCTGAAGGGCCAATAGTTTTTGCTTACGATTGTGATTTCTCTGAATTCGCGCCTTCACAGCTTTTATCACTGCTGGAGTCCTAACAGACCGAGGGCGACCACTTATTGACATGTCATTTACACTATAGTCTTCTTTGTATCGTTTGTTGGTACGATAAACGAATCTTTTGGTTATATTCAAAATTTTCAGTTTATCAAAAATTTGAATTGGCGCGTAACCGCAACGATGCAACGCAATAACTGCAACACGGACTTCTTTAAGCGTCCACTCCATATTTAAAAATGAGTAAAATTCTAAAAAGTATACATTTTTATTTTCATGAACAATTCGAATTCAATAAACTTTTTTGTGGCCAGCATTCTAATTACTGTGTGACAATACTTATGACCTGACTGTGTATACTGTCACAGTTCTGTAAGGATGTGGAATTTTATTATTTCTGATTTCTATAACTTTTCTAAATAACAGTCTTCATAAAATATCGGAAACGCCCATGTTAGCATATTGAATAGAATCTTGCATTGTATGTAAGTAGGTTAGTATACCACTCGCGCGTTTCCGAGCTTTACTGTAATCCGTAGAACTATGGAAAGAATATTTTTATTTTTAATACTGGTATTGAAGCTTTTTAATATGCCGTCTTCAAATTATTTAACTTCGTGTTTAGCACAAACCTATATCTCTGATAGTCGGAATCATCTTTGTCTACGTCCGAGAGCTCGTTGGGGCACGCCTTGTTGCTGAGCAGGCTCAGGTACGACAGGGATGGAAGACGTTCCACTATCTTGTCTATGAGTAGTTCCAAATCGGCCACCTGCAACAGAACTTGATTGTGAAATGGATTGGTAAAATTTAAGTTAATCGGTTAAAAACACGTTATTCAACATGTTTTCATTATATTTCTTAATTTCGCTATCGCAATGAATGTGACAGCAAACAACTTTAAACTTAAAAGTATGATGTCTCGTGCGACCGCTATCAATCTAGCAATCGATAAAATAAATTTGACTTTAAATGGGATCGCTGTTTATAATGTCAAGTATATTTTTATAGGATAAATATAACATTTTTATGCATCATATTATAATTACTTCATCTTATTTGATATTGTCTTTTTTGGAATCTATTTTGTTCTCTACTTTGGGTGTGTAAAGCCTATAAAATATTACATTTATAAATAAATTATTTGTAGTCTTTACTTCGTGATTCGTGAAATATCGAAAACACGCTCGGTGTAAATAGCATTTGTACGATTTCACCATGGTGTTTCGATTTCGATTCATGTAGTATGTTCCTCGTGTAATACATCAACCATAAAACGCCACTTAACACAGGAAACCGATTTCCTTTGAACAAAAAATCAATACCTACGTACATAATATGATGTGAAATATAAATAACTCTATTATGTAGGTATGTTACACGTGTGAAAGAGTGGTGTGATTCATTTTATTTCATTCTGATCACTCCATTCCTATTCCAATGATAATAAATATTAAATTCCTATAAAGTTATGCGAGTTATGAATGACTTACTAAGAATATCAATGGTGTTCCTGGTTAGTATGATTTTTACATATCATAGGGTAAGTACCCTATTTCTACTAATATTATAAACGCGAAAGTGTGTCCGTCTGTCTGTTACCTCTTCATGTTTAAACGGCTGAACCGATTGACATAAAATTTGGTATATAGGTAGTTTGAGTACCGGGGTAGGAAATAGGATAGTTTTTATCCCATAAATCATCATTGAAGGGGATAAAAGGGGTGTGGAAGTTGTATAGGAAACCAATTTTTCCACGCAGACGAAGTCGCGGTAGTAACGATATTAAAAACCTGTTGATTCCTAGACGTAGAACGGAGTAGGTACCTACTTAAATATCGTAGTCAGAAATTGGTTTTACGCCGATTAATGATTTCGATAAAACGTTCTTGAACTATGTCGAATTATAATTACGAAGTGATGATGATAGCCTCTAAAATGCAGGTATCGAAATAAGGTTCGCTTCGAATCGCTTATATTCCTTGTTATTAGAAAAGTGAACGAAAGCGAAGAGAAATCGGCGCGTAGTAGATCGGCGGAGCGGAATAAACCTCGATTCGTTCTCGGGTAGCCCGTGCTTTAATCAGTAAATATTTAAGAGTTCAGAGAGTATTAAGTCGAATTTTCTATACTTGTTGATGAGCTCGATGGCGCAAGTAGTTAACGCGTTCGGCTGCGATCGTTGAAGTTAAGCAACTTTCGCAGTGGTCGGTCATTGGATGGGTGACCAAAAATTTACCATCTCGAGCTCCTTCGTGCTTCGGAAGGCACGTTAGGCCGTTGGTCCCGGCTGCATTTGCAGTCGTTAGCAACCACCAATCAGCACTAGGCCCGTGTGGTGGGTCATGGCCCAATCTTCCTATTCCATCCATGGAAAGGCCTATGCCCCAGCAGTGGGGAGATTAATAGGCTGATGATAATGATGAGAAATATGTTATTAATGCTAAGTGTTAAATAAATTATATATGTATAGCACTCAACAGATTCCCTTTTTTTCACCTCTACCAACTACAACAAAGAACAAAAATCAATAGCAGCAGCAGTTTAGTTATAATTACACACAAACATAGAAGCAAGCATACCCAGACAGTAATCAATTTACACACAAGGGGGACTTCACCAATAAGAGTTATTGGTGTATGTACATATACATCTCCGTTTAAAGTCAATGAATTAGAGCCGTACAAACAATATCAAGTTCACCTCAGTGTTATCCATAGAATAGAAAACAAATCTGATAATATCTATGTATATTCCATCTGTCGTTCAGTCTAAGTCTACCTCTGAGACAACTAGTTTTAGTGAATGTTTATTTAATAAAAGAGGGTAATGATGTAACAATGTTAAAATCAACCATAAACAACAACAAAAAAAACACATTTTTATATTGGCGTACCGTGTAAACACTGGAATTTCTGTTCCCTATATATTAATAACTTCAATCATCTCCTTATTCCATCCATAGGGAAGGCCTGTGCCGCAGCAGTGGGGACAATAATAGGCTGATGATGATGATGATGATGATATATTAATAATATTGAAGAAAATAAGATTAGATAGCTCGATGGCGCAAGCGGTTAGCGCGTTCGGCTGCGATCGTTGAACTTAAGCAACTTTCGCAGTGGTCGGTCATTGGATGGGTGACCAAAAACTATCTCGAGCTCCTCCGTGCTTCGGAAGGCACGTTAAGCCGTTGGTTCCGGCCGCATCTGCAGTCGTTAGCACCCACCAATCCACACTGGGCCCGCGTGGTGGGTCATGGCCCAAGCTCCCTATTCCATCAATAGGGAAGGCCTGTGCCTCAGCAGTGGGGACATTAATAGGCTGGTGATGATGATGATGATGAGTAAAGGAGATTGCTCAAATTGGCCCAAATGTACAAAAAATATTGACATATACGGTAATTCTTGGCGTAAATTATATTTTATTTTACAGTCATTAGATTTTAACGGACACCTTTGTATAATATATTCATTTTAAAAAGGACTTTTAATTTTACCGCTTTGGAAAACATACGAATCATTTTTAATGACTATGGGTGTAGAAACATTCAGCCAAAGACTGATCGAAGTTGTTTATATAAAATTAAAACAAATCTATTTTGTAAAGATCGATTTTTTTTACACTGTGGTATTAATATCCGATATAGGAGCTGGATAGCGCCAGTGGTTAGCGCGTTCGGCTGCGGTCGTTGAAGTTGAGCAACTTTCGCAGTGGTCGGTCATTGGATGGGTGACCAAAAATTTACTATCTCGAGCTCCTCCGTGCTTCGGAAGGCACGTTAAGCCGTTGGTCTCGGCTGCATCTGCAGTCGTTAGCACCCACGACCCGCACTGGGCCCGCGTGGTGGGTCATGGCCCAATCTCCCTAATCCATCTATAGGGTAGGCCTGTGCCCCAGAAGTGGGGACATTAATAGGCTGATGATGATGGTTAATATCCACAACTATTTTTTCATTTTCACTGCATGCAAATGTGCTAAGACAATTTATTATAGATGGTAGGCGACATCATAGTCTATTGCCAAACATTTTTCGCCAAACACCTCCATAAACACATTATAAGGCGTGATACACTAAAATTCTAAAATATTGTTATAATATAGGGTTGTTCAACAAGAACTTTGTTTTTGAATTGTGGCTACACCAACAATATGATAGTTTTCACATTTAGTGTTTTGATGTTTTCGTAGAAGATGCATTGGCAATTGTTACAATGAATTCAATTTCGCTTGAAAATCGAATTAAAATAATTAAAATCCACTATGAAAATAGTGGTTCTGTTACAGTTACATTATGTCAAATTCGTGATATTTTCGGACAACATAATCGTCCTTCTGAGACCGCTATTAAGAATTTGGTCGTTAAATTTGAGTCGACAGGCTCGATACAAAATGTGCTAACACCAACGCGTGTTCGACCGAGTCGTTCAACTGAAAGCATCGCAGCCGTGAGCCACAGTGTTGAGGCAGATCCAAATTTGTCAATTCTGCGACGTTCTCAACAATTGGGGTTATCCAGAACCACTAAATGGCGAATTTTGGCCTATTATTGATGACGTGGATATCACTGATATGTGGTTTCAACAGCCAATGAAACGATCAATATAATGCAAACCAAATTTCCCGATCGCATAATTTCACTAAAGTCAGCTGTTAAGTGGCCAGCTAATCTAGTGGTGTTAAATCACAGATCATGTGATTTAACACCACTAGATTATTTTTTGTGGGATTGTGTTAAGGGCAGAGTGTTTACGGGGACAATCGAATCGATTGCAGCCTTAAAACTCAAAATCCGTGATGTGATTAACGAAATAGTCCCGCCATTTTGCCAAACAGTGATTAAAAACTTTGATGAAAGAATCGACATCTGTCAGCGTGCTCGTGGTGGACATTTGCAAGATATAATTTTACATTCATAATTGCCGAACTTTTCTCTTTGTAATTCAATAAAAAATTTAATCATCTTCATCTAAATTTTTCGTTTGTCTCAAGTCAATTTCAATATAAAATTTACTTAGTTGCAATAAGTACTTTATTTATAATGCAATCCATAAGCATGCTGTGGGCCGTGATCACTGTCCATATTCAGATATCTTTCTGTTTTGCTTTATTATTATTTTTTGTTGATACAATACGTGAAACTAGGGCATTAAGAACACAAAGAAATATCTTTCTAAGAATACCAACTTGAACACAACCTGCAGATCTTTTACTTTTACTTTACAAATAATCGTAAATAAATACCAGTAATACAAACTCGCAGTATCTTCCAATAATTTGATAAATCTAGTTAGTTACAACCCAGGTAATTGCTTATTGGTTATTTACTTGTGCTAAGGAATACAAGAGTGGTTCACGATCTTTTTATCGCACGCTTGCAGGTTTCGTTAATTCGTGGACTCTATATAAGCTGCTTACCTGATTGTTATTTAGTGAGAGGGTTCTCAGATACGGCAGTAAAGGAAACGTGATGTTGTCCCCCAGTTTATTATTGTCTAATATCAGCTCTTCCAATCTGCCGAATTGTTCTAGGCCTTTCAGTGTCTCTATGGTGTTGTAGCTGCAAGATAAATATTGTCTGGTAAATGTGGACCCGATGAAGTGGCAAGAAATGAAGTAAAACAAAGAGTAATAGGTAGAGAAACATATATTTACTTAAGAGTGGTTTCAAATAGGTAAAAAAATGTTGCGAAATAACGAATAACCCATCGATGAAAAATTAAGATATATTTTTTTTGTTAGAGCTATTGATAGTTAAGGCTTAATAACGAGTCATCCAGTTAATGAGCTATCGACCAAAAGGGTAGGCGCATATGTCGTTTCAACTCAAACCGTCTTATTAAGAAACGAGGTGCCCAAGGGAACACTCAAAGGCGACAGTTAAAAATATATATATTAAAGACTAGTGGCCCGCCCTCGCTTTGCTTCGGTGTAGAGCTGTACTGTAGACTATAGTATTTGTTCAAAGGCTTGTGTTATATACAATGACTTTCTTCATAATAATTATAAACCTTCCATTCCAAGTAAAAAATTAGTTGCGTAGTTAAGGACGCGTTGTACCGAATGCAAAATTGTTCTGCTGTTCCGATTTGAAAAGTTTTTTTTGGTATTGGACAGTGCATTTATCGAAGAAGGCTATAGGCTATATGTTATATATAAGCGATGAAAAATGTTGAAAAAACGGGTAAAAATATTCCATTTGTGAGGTTCCGTTGCTTGCGCTGGGTAAACGGTTAAAGTTACACAAAAATCATGTATGACGGAATTGTTCCTCTTTAAAAGTTCTGTAGAAAAAGCCATGACAGCCTATGTACATATTTTAAGTTTGACTCACTATAAACCATTTTCTTCAAATTAACGTGGGTGAAACCGCAGGCACGGTAATATTATCTATACAGTATTGTGACTCCGCTCTGTCCTTGAAAATAAATGCCTACTCCCGAGCGCTGCGTTAGCACGCGGTAGGGCCGCCCGCCTACAGTATTTTATGTAGTTTTGTTTTTAACGCGAGTGTAGGTAGATTACTCGTTTGTCTCTTTTTTCATCCTAACCACTTATTAAGATATTATTCCAGATAATTTGCCCGATGGAAAAACCGAATTACCTAAATATTGGAAACAAATTACGTACTAGTAGATAGGTATATAAAAAATATTCTATAAAGGTAAGACACCTTTCCAATATTTCAGGTAATTTAAAAAATGATATCTCTGGGTGTGTTATTAAAGAGTTCAAGCAACCTAAAACAGCAATTGTGCTGTTGTACGATATTGATAGTCGTTTGTTCTTTTCCATACTACATTATGTAGGTATCTACTTAATTAAATCAAATATTTACAATACAAAACGCACGTTTAAGCACGGCTAACTGCATAAAAAACAATTCAGACCGTTCGGTCGTCGTTGCGGCGCGGCGGCGCATTCGCGACTGGGTGCCCGCCGAGAGCACATCGAACTCGAGTGGCGTAGGTATGACTCGCTTTCCGATCGTTTGTATGAAGATAGAATACTGTATGATATTATTACCGTGCCGCAGGGGACCTCTCGTTGTGACATAACTGTAATAGTTGAACACATGGTATCACTGACTTTTTTGTAGATATTGGTATCCTCTATAAAACTTTAGTACATCACTTTCCTCAATTATGAATGACTTCCGCAGCGTACATGATATAAGGCTATTACGAACATTATCGAAGTTTTCATACGGACCCCTAACTTTTTTGAAAATACACTATAGCCTATATTAATCAGTGATAATGTAGCATCAAATGGTGAAAGAATTTTTAAAATCGGGCCAGTACTTTTTGAGCCAATTCCTTACAAACATACTTACATACAAAATTTTCCTCTATAAAATTAGTATAGATGATGTTGACAAAATGAGCACAACTCATTTAACACTCACTAATTACTACCCAAACCAGATTTTACGTTAAATTTATACGAATAGAATTTATATTCCAATTTGCCATCCACGTACACATTCAGTCCTATAGCCCAACGGGGCGATTCGAACATGTCCCGTAATAACCCAATTCCAAATATTAATTTTTAAAATTATTACAAACCTTTATGAGGTCACGCATCAAAATGTGACCCGTTTTATGGTTGTTCGAAGATATAAATCTGACCCTTGTTAAACAGCTATAAACATATGGGTACGTGTTGCCTCAAATAACACTTGTTGCATTGAATTTTTTACTACATAATCGTATTTTAAATCAAATGCAAGGCAAATAAGTATGAATTGTAACTTGAGGTGTGACTTGTCTGTGTTGTGTAAATGTTCACGTCAATAAGTCGCAGACTTTGTGCAAGAAAGTCAATCTTTCTTCACTCAAAAACAATAAATATTTATAGTACAACTCATTGAATCGTTATTTTATATCTACACCCGTTACAATTTCAGCAATGGAGAAACGTGCGGTACCTCACGACATTCAATGAAAAGCAATGACATAAAAGGATATAATGTAGTTAGTAGTTCAATGTTACAAGATGATTCTTATTACTCATAGGAAAACCTATAGGAAAGTCTGTATTGCTAAGGACATCGTTCTAAAAGCGAACACAAAGACCTGAATAAATTTAGTGAAGCCTATTAGAAAGTTAAATAGTTTTTGTTTCAGTATAATTATCACAATTTAAAAAAAATGAAAACCATTCTTTTCTTTAAATATGGTTTGTGGAGCTGCAAATGTCATTATGTCAATTTCTTTAAAGCTAAGTAATTTTACGCTGTTTGTAATATTAATCTTAAAGAATGTAACCAGTCTTTTCAATCTATGGAAAAAGTCTTTTTATTTTGTATTTTCAGGGTAATCCTTTGTAATATCTTAGATTCACCTTTACTTAACTTTTTTCAGCCTTCTCTTAAATATTGTAAGCATTTCAGTTATGTCAATAAAATTTTATGTTATTCTTAGCTCAATACCTAAAATCGAACGTAGTAAGAATCTAAAAAAAACTCTTATGTTTAATATTCCCCTTTCATCCTACGGGTAAGGTTATTGAACTTGAATATTGGTATGAAACTCTGAAGGGATGTTAAAGAATGTTTTCAGATCAAAATATATAAAAGGAACAAATCTCACTCAAATGCAGTTGGACGTTGATTTTGTTACTGTTCAGCTAAATAACCTATATTTCGTAACGTAGGCTTATATAACGTTGCGTTAAATTACCGTACAACTTCTGTATACGCGTCATGTAAGTCGCTTGGAGTGAGTAAATTTAATGGGTCGACCCTCGACGGGGACGCAAGCGAGGTTTACACGCGTTACCTACCTAAACATATTTTGAAGTCTACTATATAATATAGGCGGCTCTGGTTGTAAATCAAGCTTTATTTTGGCAGTACGTGTTTGATATTTACAGATCGGATATTATTTACGATTAGACAACATAAAAAAAAATTCGTGTGCAACTTTGTTCGACAGGGATTCCGTGGCCAAAATAACATAAATTGAAAACCGGTTAAGTGCGTGTCGTACCAGACACAGTGTAAGATTCCGTAGTTGCCTGTAGTTACCACGATATATTTGAACAGGAGTCTTTATTTTCTATATTGGAAATTCGAAAAACCTATTAATATCAATCTTTGTAGGTATCTCAACTAAAATAGTTAAATCAAACTGCGTCACAAAATCAATTCGATATTTTTTTAATAACATGTATGATAACCGCCGATTTTTTATTGTTTCTTCCCAGGCGGGGGAGAGGAGCTCGATGGCGCAAGTGAGTAGCGCGTTCGGCTGCGATCGTTGAAGTTAAGCAACTTTCGCATGTGGTCGGTCATTGGATGGGTGACCAAAAATTTACTATCTCGAGCTCCTCCGTGCTTCGGAAGGCACGTTAAGCCGTTTGTCCCGGCTGCATCTGCAGTCGTTAGCACCCACCAATCCGCACTGGGCCCGCGTGGTGGGTCATGGCCCAATCTCCCTATTCTATCCATAGGGAAGGCCTGTGCTCCAGCAGTGGGGACATTAATAGGTGATGATGAGGCGGGGGAGCGGGTGTGAAATCCTAATGGATACCCTACAGCCGGCTGCAAGGTTGTGTCAGAATCTTACTAACTAAAAGCTTGATCTGAAGCAATCATCTTCTGAGAAAGGGATGCTTATATAGGTACTTATTATTAAAACGTAATGTTAGCGCGACTCAGAAGCCGTTGCCGTTAGTACTCGCGATAGCGTTGTGGAACTAATGACATTTTAAATTAGTTTTTAAATAGTTTTTCTTTAGATTTTGTTGCAACAAGGTTTTGCAACGCTACAAGAACTTCATTACTGACATTATTAATGTTTCCTTCTAAGGAATTTTCAATAGGTAAGAAATTTACTTCAACCAAAGTTGAAAGACTTAAGATTACTTTTAAGATTACTTTTAAACTAACAAATCTATCTTAAACGTTATAGTTTTTCTTTAAAGTTAATAAAAAGCACTATTATCATGATTTTTTAAGGGTTTTTTAAGCTAATAGTTTACCTTTTAGACTGGGAAGTACCATAAAAGTTATCATTTTAATTTTATTTTTATAGTTATATTTTCTTTTTCGCAAATGTAATATTTTTCGAAAAATAGTAATTTTAAAGGACCTATTCAACGATATCCATACTATGGGCACGGACCTAAAAAAAAGACGGATGTAACATCAAAGGCAAATCATGTGAAGCATGCAAGGTCGGACAAAATCGTTTGTTGTACACTACCTACACTCACACTAATGCACCAGGTCGGACAAACACGTATATTAAGCTAGCAGACCATGGTCGCAACGCGCACATCTAACCTACTGGGTATTTAGTTGCTAATTAGTTGCTAATTAGTCACACTATTCCCGATTTAGTTGCTCAACACCTGTAAAAGATAACGTATATTAAGCTAGCAGACCATGGTCGCAACGCGCACATCTAACCTACTGGGTATTTAGTTGCTAATTAGTTGCTAATTAGTTACACTATTCCCGATTTAGTTGCTCAACACCTGTAAAAGATACATGCGATCTGCTAGCTTAAGTCTTAACCTAGCAGACCACAATACTGTATCTTCGGTTCT